CCCAGAATTCCCGGAATTCCTGGGGTTTTTCCCAGAATTCCCGGAATTCCCGGGGTTTTTCCCAGAATTCCCGGGATTTTCCCGGGGTTTTCCCAGGGTTTTTCCCGGGATTTTCCCGGGGTTTTCCCGGAATTCCCGGGGTTTTTCCTGGAATTCCCGGGGTTTTCCCGGGGTTTTCCCGGGTTTCTCCCGGGTTTCTCCCGGGGTTTTCCCGGGCTTTTCCCAGGATTTTCCCAGGGTTTTTCCCAGAATTCCCGGGATTTTCCCGGGGTTTTTCCGGGGTTTTCCCGGGGTTTTCCTGGGATTTTCCCAGGGTTTTCCCGGGGTTTCTCCCGGGGTTTTCCCGGGGTTTTCCCGGGGTTTTCCCGGGGTTTTTCCCGGAGTTTTCCCAGGTTTCTCCCGGGATTTTCCCGGGGTTTTCCCGGGATTTTCCCGGTTTTCCCGCGGCAGGTGAAGAAGCTCGCCCGCCAGCAGCAGCAGGAGCAGCTCGGGAATTCCAGAGGGGAAATTCCAGAGGGGAGGAGAGGCCGGGATCGGGATGGGGAAGGTCGGGAATGGTGGGAAAATTGGGAATGGCGGGAAAATTGGGAAAATTGGGAATTGGGGGAATTGGGAAAATTGGGGAAATTTGGGAATTGGGAAATTTGGGAATTGGGGGAATTGGGAAATTTGGGATGGGAAAATTGGGAAAATTGGGAATTAGGAAAATTGGGGAATTGGGGAAATTGGGAATTGGGGAAAATTGGGAAAATTGGGAATGGGGGAATTGGGAATTGGGGAAACTGGGAATTAGGAAAATTGGGAATTGGGGATTGGCGGGAAAATTGGGAATTGGGAAAATTTGGAATTGGGAATTGGGGAAATTGGGAATTGGGAGGGGTTTGGGAATGTGGAAAATGGGAATTGGGAATGGGGAAAACTGGGAATGAGGAACTGGGAATTGGGGATGGGGAAATTGGGAAAAGGGGATGGAAAATCGGGAATGGGGGTGGGAAAATGGGAAATTGGGAATGGGGAAATAATTGGCAAACTGGGAATGGGGAAATAATCGGGAATGGGGGATGGGAAACCGGGAATGGGGATGGGAAATCAGGAATGGGGGATGGGAAATTGGGAATGGGGGATGGAAAACCAGGAATGGGGATGGAAAATCGGGAATGGGGGATGGGAAATTGGGAATGGGGGATGGAAAACCGGGAATGCCGAGGCCCCATCCCGGTTTTTCCCCCCCCCCAATTCCCTTTTCCCGAGGTTTTTTCCCGCCTTTTCCCAGGCTCGGGAATTTTCCAGGAGCCTCCCGGGGAC